GGTCCTGGAGGGCGTGCAGCGGCGTGAGGTGGCCCGGATGTTCATTTTGTGCATCTGCACTTCTCAGCTCTTCTGTTACGACACATCACAGAGTGAAAAAGACAGGGCCAGGCCTTGTTTATTACCTAGTTATTTTATACTGTAAAACAAACTATATATTTAAAAAACTCAGACTGCCTAGGGAGGTATCAGGCAAGAAGGAGGAGCCCCTCCTAGTCCCGTGGCCCACTGCCAGAAGTGGGCACACCTGTGTCCAGATGAGCCTCTCAGGAAGCATCTGCATCCGTGCCTGTGACCTCCCCACCCGGGCCCTCCACTCAGCCTCAGCCTCAGATGGAGACAGCACTTCGCTTACAATAAGCTAAGATCACAAGGTAAGAAACCAAAAGTAAGTGCCCATTGGCTGGTGCCGTGGCTCATGCCTGTAATACCAGCACTTTGGGAGGCTGAGGAGGGCTGATCAGTTGAGGTCAGGGGTATGAGACCAGCCTGGCCAACATGGAGAAACCCTGTCTCTACTAAAAATACAAAAATTAGCCAGGCGTGGAGGTGCGTGCCTGTAATCTCAGCTACTCAGGAGGCTGAGGCAGAAGAATTGCTGGAGCCCAGGAGGCGGAGGCTGCAGTGAACTAAGATCACGCCACTGCACTCCAGCCTGGCGCCAGAGTGAGACTCCAACTCAAAAAACAAGACATAAAAGGGCTAGTTCTGTGTGATTCCAGTCCTGTGTGCCCCTGGAGCAGTCAGATTCATAAAGACAGAGGGAGAGTGTTGGTCGGCAGGGGACGGGAAGGGAGAATGTGGAGCTGGTGTTTCGTGGGGACAGAGCTTGTGTTTGGGAAGATGGGAAATTTCTGGAGATGGATGGATGGGGTGATGGCTGCACGGCACTGTGAATGAGCTTAATGCCACGGAACATGTACTGGAAAACGGCTAAGCTGGGAACGCTGATGTGTGTGCATTTTACCACCATGAAATAGGAGCGTGCGTGCCTAATGGCAGCAGGTCCCTGCACATAGCGCTCCTGGGACACTGTCACAATGGCAGTTCACACTGAGTAAGCACACCAGGCCTCACGCTAAGTGCTTACATACGAAGCATCAGCCCTGCCAGTCCCCACGATACCCCCATCTTACAGATGAGAAAACTGAGGCACAGGAGGTAGGTCACTGGCTCGAGGCCAAACAGAGCAGGGAAGACAGGGCTGGCAGGTGGGAGTCGGAGCCCCAGTTTGCACTCACGGCCAGCGGCTGTGCCTCCTCCTGGAGGTGGGAGGGAAGTGGGCAATCCCCCCTCAGGGAGCCCAGGGATGGGAGACGTGGCAGAGGCCTGGGCCCCAGACGCAGCCTGTCTACTCCCGGCCCACCCCCTCCTCCTGCCTCTTGCACCTCACCTGGGGCAGGCCAGTAAGGAGGCTGGCACGGCTGGGAGAGCAGCTGCTGACCGAGGTGAAGGCGTTGCGGAAGAGGAGGCTGCGGCGGGCCAAGGCGTCTAGGTGCGGGGTGGCGATGGCGCTGTTGTTGTATGCGCCACTCTCGAAGCCGCCATCATCCGCTGTGTAAGGTGGGAGACAGCACGTGGTGTAAGGGATCACGAGAAACAGCGCCAGGAGTGAGGGAGGCCGGGGCTGTGATGCCAGGAGGCAAGTTACCCACGTGGGCATGGTACTGACTCAACACAAACGCTATCGTGACAGAGCGCTTCCTTACCTAGGAGGCATGACACCTGAGGGGGTACAGCAGGCAAGCATGATACCAGAGGGCATGACAGCAGGTCTGATACCAGTGGGCATGTTAGCAGGCAGGCATGTATAGGAAGGCCCCCTACCTACTGGGTATATTAGCAAGCAGGCATGGTACTTAGTGGGCACGATACCCAGTGGGCATATTAGCAAGTGGGCATGGTACCCAGTAGGCATGATACTTGGTGGGTTGTTAGCAGGTGAGCAGGGTATGTAGGCTGGACTGATAGATGGTAGGTGTAGCAGGTGAACATGGTACCCAGGCAGGCCTGATACCCGGGGGGTATGTTGGCAGGCAGAAATGGTATCTAAGTGGGCATGATAAGCAGGCATCATACCCCAACAAGCTTGATGATACCCCAAGCATGCCTGATACCCAGTGGGCTGGTACCCAGCAGGCCTGGCACCTGGATGGGTATGAGAGCAGGCAGGCATGGTAACCAAGTGGTCATCATAGGCAGGCTTCACACCCCAACAAGTTTGATGATAGCCCAGCAGGCATGCCACCTTGGTGGGCATGTTACCCGGCTAGGCATTTAGGCAGACAGTGGCCGAATGCATGGCCACAGCACACTGCTGGGCAATTCCGGGCTCTGCAGACACTGCCTGGGGCACAGGGCAGGAGAGCCTCGCCCAGCACGTGTCTAAGGATCCGTGTGTGTGCCCCACCGCTGCCTCTCACTGATGCCATCTCAAAGGCCAAGGAACCTTCAGATCGTGTAGTTCAACCTTTTCACTCTACACGAAACAGCTGAGGCCCAGAAAGGTGAGGTACAGGGCTCTGAGCTTCTACAACCACACCACGCTTCTTCCCCTGCTCTGGGGTAGACAACATTGGGGGCACCCCAGGAGAGGCTGGTGGAAACCCCCAGGACCAACACCTTCCCCTAGCTCCCTCAGAGGCAATGCGGTCCATGGCAGAGGAGGCTGCACAGCTTCAAGCTGGGCTCAAATCCTCCACCTGAGCTCCCCTCCTCCGCCCCACAGCACCCACGGGGTGTGAGCGCATGGCAGCCAGGTAAGCCTGGAGCGAGAGCAGGCTGCTGTGCTCCCTTCCTGCAGCCCAGAAGGAAAGCTGCCCTTCTGCAAACCCAGGGTGTCTTGGCACTTGGCTGTGGGCCTGCTATGGACAGAGCTGTATCCTCCCAGAATTCATGCGCTGAAGCCCTAACACCAACATGATTCTATCTGGAGACATGGTCCTTAATTAAGGTTAAATGAGGTCATAAGGATGGGACCCCGATCTGACAGGACTGTTGCCTTACAAGAAAAGAGAGAGAGGGCCGGGTGCCATGTTTTATGCCTGTAATCCCAGCACCTGGGAGGCCGAGGCAGGAAGAACGCTTCAGCCCAGGAGTTCGAGACCAGCCTGGGCAACACAGTGAGACTTTGTCTCTACAAAAAATACAAAAATTAACTGGGTATGCACCTGGGTGTGCACCTGTGGTCCCAGCTACTTGGGAGGCTGAGGCAGGAAGATCACTTGAGCCTGGGAGGTTGAGGCTGCAGTGAGCCGAGATTATGCTGCTGCACTCCAGCCTGGGGGATAGAGTGAGACTCTCACAAAAAGAAAGAAAAGAAAGAAAAAGGAAAAGAAAAGAAAGTGGAAAGAAAGAGAAAAAAGAAAGAAAAGAGAGAGAGAAAAGAAAGCAAGAGAAATGAAAAGGAAGTGAGACCCCCCTCCCGCTTGTCATGTGAGGAAACAGTGAAAGGATGATCACCTCAAGCCGAAAGTGGACCCTCAGTGGAACCCAACCAAGCTGGCCCCTGACCCTGGATTCTCAGCCTGCAGAATTGTGAGAAATACATTTCTGTTGTTTAAGCCAACCTATGGCAGTCCGTGCTAAGACCGGCCCTAGCGCAGGGGCTGCATGGCGGGGGCTCTGAGGGCCTCCAGTGGGAATCCCATCCGAAGATGAGGGTCCAGGCAGATTCTCCGCTGTGTTTCTGGGAGGTGAGGTGTTGGCAGGAGAGCTGTTTATGTTACAGTGAGCCGAACCCCCGCCCAGAGACCACAAAGTTAATCAGAAAGAGGGCACCTGGCAGCGTGCCAGACCTCAGAAGGGGAAAGAATCACAGGCCTTGGGTTTGGCCTTGTCACTTGTCACGGGCCAGGGCTTGATTACCCAAACCGGAAGTCTTGTGAGCAGCACAGTGCTTGCCCGGGAGGAACTTGGGGTTTCTGAGAGGGACTGGGATTGGGGGAGACGGTGGTGGGAGGTGGTGGAGGGCTGTGCCCTCGGACAAGGGAAAAGGCAGCTGAACCACAGCCTCTGGGGTCGGAAAAGATTACATTGGGGAGGAGATGAGAGCCAGGAGGGCATCCTGTCTGCAGTCTCTGGGGGCTTGAGCACCAGCTCCTCCTCGGGAATCCCCTCCCGAGAGGGATCTGGGATCCGTGGACCCCTGGGCCCTGGCTGGGCAGGGTCAGAGGCGGGTGGGGACAGGCGGCAGGAGGTAAGGTAGCGGGGCTGGATGCTGGGGCTCACCCCTCCACCCCTCGCTGCCCTCTCTGGGGAGACACCCATTTGGAGTCTGAGGGCAGCACAGAGGGGTGGGCGGGAGGGAATGGCAAGGGGATACAAGGGCAGGGCACAGCAGGGTCAGCACTGGCCACGGGTAGGGAGGAGGCCAGTGGCCACTTCCGCGGGCCGCGGCAGGGGGGGCGTGGGAGGGCGGCGCCAGCACTCACCGAGCAGCAGCAGTGCGTTCCGGGGGTGCGCCCGGCAGAGCCCCAGGACCAGCAGCAGCGCGCAGCAGGCGGGCCCGGGGCGGCGCATGGCGGCTGCGGCTGCGGCTTCGGCGCGGGCTCTGGTCTCCCGCTCGGCCCCGCCCCGGCCCCGCCCCGGCCCCGCTCGGCCCCGCCCCGGCCCCGCTCGGCCCCGCCCCGGCCCCGCCCCAGCCCCGCTCGGCCCCGCCCCGGCCCCACCCCGGCCTCGCTCGGCCCCGCCCCGGCCCCGCCCCAGTCACGTGCGCCCCAGACCCCGCCCCGGCCCCGCCCCAGTCACGTGCGCCCCAGACCCCGCCCCGGCCCGTCCCGGGTGATTCCTCCGGACCCGGCTGCGGCGACGCCAGGAGACCCCGAGCTGCGGTGCCGGGCGGGTGAGTCCGTGGCCCGCGAGGGCGGCGGGCGGGGACCAGGGGCGGGTGGTGCGGACAGTGGCCAGGGTCGCCGGGGCAGCCGACGCGGGGAGCAGCGCAGAGCCCGAAAGCGCGGGCGCCTCCCCCGGGGACCACCCCCCTGCCGCCTCCTCTCCCGGGTCCCCGTGGCCCTCGGCTTTGCTCGGGGCCGAGGGACTGCGGACTGTCAGGTGGCGCGGGATCCCCGCCGGAGGCCCCAGGATCCGGAGCCAGCGGCCTCGTGGGCGGGGCCGGGGGTTGGGGAGTGGATTTTGGCCGGAGCGGGGCGGCCGGGGGCCTGGGGGGCGGCTCTGTGCGCGGGCGCCGGGCCCTGGAGGATGCTGCGCACCTGAATTAACTGGGCGCCTCTGACGTCCTCCTAGAAGCAACTAGAACTCCAGGGCGTGAATGCCACAGGTGGGGGCTGAGCGAGTCGTGGTGTCAGGAGGGAGGACCCCCCGCCAGCGCCGCAGTCCACCGTAGTGGATGGAGCCCGCATTGGTGCGCAGTTGGAAAACCTGGGATCCCCTCCCGGCCGCCGCCGGCACCCCCGCCAGCCTAGTGTGCCCCCGCGGCTCTAGGCTGCTCCCCGTTAAATTCCCTGGGGTGAGGGGGAAGAAAGGAAAAGGAAGCCAGTTCTCCAGGAGCGAGAAGTGTGAGCCTAATTAGTCTTCAGACTTCTCATTAAGAAATCGCTGAGCAGTTTCTCATCTGGGAGGGTTGAGAATGGAGGGACAGAAGGCACCCAGGATTTGCGCAGGGGGATTCAGGGAAAGTGGGTGATGAGGGGATGGGGGGAGCTCCGGCCTTGGCCCGGTTTGGCTCTTGCACACGTTGTTGGCTTCCTCTCAGACCCGTCTGGCTTAGCGCCCCTGGGGAGGGGAGACCCAGAGTGACCCCTCCTGGCCCCGGCCGACTCTGAGCGGTGTGGCTGGGTTCTTCGAAGGCCACGCTCTGACGCTGGTCTATGTCACCTGCATCCACAGCCCCGCTGAAGAAGATGCCCTCTTCAGTGCTGGGTCAGGCCAGGTTCTCCAGCCCCGGGATGGCCCCGAACACCTGCTGCTGCTCCCCCGCGGCCGTGCAGAGGAGGCTGCCCATCCTGGCATGGCTGCCCAACTACTCCCTGCAGTGGCTGAAGATGGATTTCATTGCCGGACTCTCCGTGGGCCTCACTGTCGTTCCCCAGGCACTGGCTTATGCTGAAGTGGCTGGACTCCCGCCCCAGGTGAGGTGTCTGACCCTGCTGCCGGCCCCATCTCAGAAGCAATGTGGAGATACACAGCATCAATCCCAGACAGCATCAGCCATCCCAGGTTTCCACCCCTGGGCCCCAAGGAACCTTCGGTTTACAGTGTATAACGCATGACTGTCTCTGGGCTGACCCAGGCTCCTGTGCCTGTGTGGCACACACGGACACTGAGCTGGTTGTGGAGGGACCACCGAGGTGACTCACGGAGGAGGCCTTAAGAATGCTTCCTCAGGCCGGGTGCCATGGCTCACACCCGTAATCTCAGCACTTTGGGAGGCCGAAGCGGGTGGATCACCTGAGGTCAGGAGTTCAAGACCAGCCTGGCCAATATGGTGAAAGCCCCTCTCCACTAAAAATACAAAAAATTAGCCGGGCACGGTGGTGGGCGCCTGTAATCCCAGCTACTTGGGAGGCTGAGGCAGGAGAATCACTTGAACCCTGGAGGCGGAGGTGAGCCAAGATCACACCATTAGACTCTAGCCTGGACAACAAGAGCAAAACTGCCTTTAAAAAAAAAAAAAAAAGAATGCATTCTTAGACTCGGGCGCAGCATACAGGCCTGCACCAACCCCTTTGTCCGGCTGTCTGCACCCTGAGGCCCCGGTTGGGTGCTGCTAAAAGAGTGGCCTCCTGATCACTGCAGGCCCCCCGCAGTGTAGGGTGGTGCATGTCTCCCCTGTGCATGCTCGTGTGTCCAGGACACAGCTGATACCCACACTTCCCATGCATGCACACGCACACTGGGGACATGGTGGGCTGGCCTCGGCCTCCTGGGTGCTCACCGCTGTCTCTCTCCACAGTATGGCCTCTACTCTGCCTTCATGGGCTGCTTCGTGTATTTCTTCCTGGGCACCTCCCGGGACGTGACTCTGGGCCCCACTGCCATCATGTCCCTCCTGGTCTCCTTCTACACCTTCCACGAGCCCGCCTATGCTGTGCTGCTGGCTTTCCTGTCTGGCTGCATCCAGCTGGTCATGGGGGTCCTACATTTGGGTGAGGCTCGATCTTCTTGCCAAGGGGATGCCCTTGACCTCAGCATTTCCTTGTTCGCATTTCAAGGTCTATCCCCGTGTGTGTTGGGGGCAGGGTGTGAGTACGTGTGTGCGTGTATAGGTGGGTGGCTGGGTGGAGGGGGTGGGGGCCTGGCCCCTTGGTCTACTCTTTTCTGCTGAGAGGCCAGGAGCTGTGGCCTCAGACCCTAGTCTCCCTTTTCTGCTCTCCAAAGACAGCCAGGCAGGGTGTGTCACCCACCCCTTTTTAGCTGTAGTGTCTGCTCCCCAATCGCACCCTTCCCACCCCTCCCAGCTCACACATGCCCTCATCCTCTGGGACTGGGTTGAGCTGGGACCAGCTCGGTGTCCCCTCTTGGCTGGCCAGGGTTCTTGCTGGACTTCATTTCCTGCCCCGTCATTAAAGGCTTCACCTCTGCTGCCACTGTCACCATCGGCTTTGGACAGATCAAGGTAGGCCCAGTGCCCACCCAGGGCACTTCTCATTGGCACAGGGATAGCTGGGAGCAGGACCAAGGCCCGGCCTGATCCCTGTGGTCAGTGGACGTCATGCTGTTTCAGCTTGTCTCCTGTGGGTCAAGAAGCACGCAGTGCTCTCATGGGTCCCCTCTTAATAAAACGACCCTCCTGGGAGGGCTGTCTCATGATGGCTGGATTTTACAGCGGGTAACTGGGGGCACCAGTAATTCCACCCCCCTCCCCCGGCTCTTGCCCGAGTTTCTGTGTGGTGTGCTTGACGTGGCTCCGTTCTCCCTGCACTGGGCACACCCAGCGGGCCCCAGTGGTCACAAGCAATGCTGCTACAACTTCTACAAACAAATGATTTCCCCATGTTAATTTAGCTAGGTGGTTTTGTTGTATGCTTTTTTTTTTCTGGTTTCGGTTTAATATTTTTTAAATGCCATGCTTTTTATATTTACTTTTAAAACATCTATAAGATGTATTAAGATCAGTCATCAGCTGAGAATGTAATTCATTCTATTTTTTGCTGGGTTGTAAGTTCCTCAAGGACAGGAACTGTTCTGCTCCCAGCCATGGCCACCCAGCACTGGTGTGTGTGTATGGGTGTGAATAAAGTAGCAGACACTTTTTGCACTCTTGCTACGTGCAGGCGCAGTAGGGGGTGCCCAGTTGGGTGTGTGTGGAGTGAGGTGAGCCCAGTTCCGCTGATGGGGCCGTGCAGCCGTCAAGGCAGACTAGGGGCACACCCTGCCTCCTCACCCTGTGTCACTGCAGATCATCTTCCCAAAGCCAGGCGCTGCTCCAGGCCGGCCTGAGACAGTCTTCCCTGACAGAGGAACCATGAGAAGAGCAAGGACAGGAAAGCATGCGTGTGTAAGAGTGTGTGTGTGTGTGTGAGAGTGTGTGTGTGTGTGCGTGAGAGTATGTGAGTGTGAGAGTGTGTGTGTGTGAGAGTGAGTGTGTGTGTGAGTGTGTGTGTGTATGGGTGTGAATAAAGTAGCAGACACTTTTTGCACTCTTGCTACGTGCTAGGCACTGGGCAAGACACACTCTGTGTGTAATTCTCAGCACACTACCTGGTAGGTAGGTTTATCATTATTTCCATTTTAGCGAGGAGGGACCAGCAGGTGTGGGTGAGTGCGATCTGTAAGTTATCTGCACACATCTCCCAGGGGAGGCTTGGCAAATGCTGTTTCAGGGCATGGTTGCTGCTTTATTCTGGAAATGTCCCTTATTTTTCGTATCAAGAATGTTCTTTTTTTTTTCTTTGAGACAGAGTCTTGCTCTGTCACCCAGGCTGGAGTGCAGTGGCGTGATCTCGGCTCATTGCATCCTCCATCCCCCTGGTTCAAGCAATTCCCCTGCCTCATCCTCCCGAGTAGCTGGGGTTACAGGTGCCCACCACCATGCCCAGCTAATTTTTTTTGCATTTTTAGTAGAAATGGGATTTCACCATGTTGGTCAGGCTGGTCTTGAACTCCCGACCTTGTGATCCACCCACCTTGGCCTCCTAGTCTTTTATGATGTTCTTTTATAGGATCACAGTGAAAGTAGAGAGTGCCGCCTTTTTTTTCCCTTTAGGCGGAGTTTCCCTCTTGTTGCCCAGGCTGGCGTACAATGGCCATCCACTGCACCCTCCGCCTCCCAGGTTCAAGCAATTCTCCTGCCTCAGCCTCCCTAGTAGCTGGGATTACAGGCATGTGCCACCATACCCAGCTAATTTTTTGTATTTTTAGTAGAGATGGGATTTCACCAGTGGCCAGGCTGGTGTTGAACTCTTGACCTCGGGTGATACACCGCCATCAGCCTCTCAAAGTGCTGGAATTACAGGCATGGGTCATCCCATGCAGCCGAGAGTGCCTTCTTTATGCCTTCATACTTGTCAACCCTGGCCCCGCTCAGGGACTCTGCAGCCATCTAGGGGGAGGGGCATCTTCCTGACTCTTCCAGGACAGAAGCCCCTGCCCCAGCAGTCCCAGAGTCCACCCACCCGGATGTCCTAACCCCACCCACCCTGTGACCACAGTTTTGGGGCAGGGTCCTTGAGCCTGCCAACCCTGGGAGCCTGGGCCTCAACCTCCCCCTCTGACTCCTGCTGAGTCTCAGGCAACTTAAAGAACTAAAGCACAGCTGTGGCGGCCCCATAGATCCCAGCTACATGGGAGGCTGAGGTGGGAGGATCACTGGAGCCCAGGAGTTCGAATCCAGCCTGGGCCACAGAGCAAGCCAAATCCCTCTCTAAAGGAAAAAAAAAAAAATCCTAAAGCACAGGATAGAACTCCTTCTTCTGCCCAGGAGCTCTGAGAGCTGGCATATTCCCCAGCCCAGTTTCTTGAAGCCCCTCAGAGCCCTCCGGATCTGTGCACACTGTGAAGTGCCTTTTCCTTCTGGCAGCAGCGGGGCTGGAGGTTGGGGGGCATCTAGTGAGAGATGTGGCCTCAAGCCAATGGCAGCAAGGGTCTACATTGCAGGGGGCCTGGCCACCAAGTGGCAGGCATGGCCTGGAGCCAGTGAGTTCAGGGTCAGGCGGCCCAGGGCTCCTGGCCTTAGAGCTGTAGAACTAGTCTCCCTCCTGTGGGATCAACTATACTGTTTTTTGTGAAAAACAAAAGTAATTTAGAGAAAGTATCACTGACCCAGAAATTGTGAAGTACCGTTTCCCCCAAGGGTAACTTTGACTTCCTGGCTTGGGGGGCATTGGAAGTGGGCAGATGGCCCCTGAGCATTTGAGATGGGCCCTGGGAATGAGGGTCTGAGATGGGGTCGGGACGGCAGGCTGAGAGCTGGGGACAGATTGCCTGGGTCTGGGGACAGGGCCTCTGATGAGCATCTCTGTGTTTGAATAGAACCTGCTGGGACTGCAGAACATCCCCAGGCAGTTCTTCCTGCAAGTGTACCACACCTTCCTCAGGATCGGGGAGACCAGGTACCCTGGGCTTCATTCCTCCCTCCTATAAGGAAGCTCCTCCTTCCACGCCTGCTTTCCTGGCCCCCACCTCAACTTTCACCCCCAGTGGCTGCTCAAACAGGGATCCCCAGAGCAGCCCCATCAGCAGCACCTGTGAGCTGGCAGGAAATGAGATTGTCAGCCCTTTCCAGACCTGCCCTATCAGAGCCAGCGTTCTAACAGGAGGCCTGCGGTCTGTGTGCAGGAGAGAGTTTAAGAAGCTCAGCTCCGGGGAGCCAAAGAGGGTGCTGTTCCTCTCCACAGAGCTTTCTTGGGCAGGAATGGGAAGAGACTGTGTAAAGCAAAAGAAGGCAGTGTGTCTCCCCCGGGTGGTGATTTGTTAGGGAAGTGAAGACAGGGCTTGGGGAAGCTAACACAGACAGAATGCAGGTGCCATGGGGATAGCAGGTGGAGCCGTGATGAGAGATGAGGAGACCCAAGCGCTTCCCGCAGGTGGTTTAAAGAGCCTCTGATGGGCAGGCACGGTGGCTCATGCTGTAATCCCAGCAGTTTGGGAAGCCAAGGCAGGTGGATCACCTTAGGTCAGGAGTTCAAGACCAGCCTGGTCAACATGGTGAAACCCTGTCTCTTAAATACAAAAATTAGCTGGGTATAGTGGTGTGTGCCTGTAGTCTCAGCTACTCAGGAGGCTGAGGCAGGAGACTCTTGAACCTGGGAGGTGGAGGTTGCAGTAAGCCAAGATCACACCACTGCACTTCAGCCTGGGCGATAGAGTGAGACTCTGTCTCAAAAAAAAAAAAAAAAAAAGTCTCTGATGAGGGGTCCCTCCCTGCCAGACCATCCAGCAGGAAGCCGGGATACCTCTGTCTCTCTGGCTGGAAGGGGCTGGAGGAAGAAATGATCAGGGAGCTGTAGAGATGGCTGCCCAGTGCTGTGGCCTGGAGGGAGTGGGGGCGATGCTGGGATCCTGGACCATCTTCCAGCTGGAAACCAGTGGGTTCCTTGCCCTTCAGAGGCACCAGTGGGCAGGGGTCAGCCGCATGGGGGAGCGTGATTGTGGAACCTGAGCAGTCAGAGAATATCATGGACTGTTAAAGGTAAAAGGGACCTTACTGATTGTTTAGTCCAAAGCCTTCTAGAATGTCTACAGCAGGGTGTCCCATCTTTTGGCTTCCTTGGGCCACACAGAAGGAAGAATTGTCTTGGGCTATACATAAAAAACACTAATGATAGCTGATGAACTGGGAAAAATTCATTTAAAAAACTCATAATGTTTTAAGAAAGTTTACAGCTTTGTATTGGGCCGCATTCAAAGCAATCCCAGGCTGCGTGTGGCCCACAGGATGTGGGTTTGCCACACTTGTTCCAGAGCCACCTGCAGAGCGCCGGCTGCTCAGCCTGGTCCCCGTTCCCCGTGGTCACTCACCAGATCCTTTGCACAGACTTGAGTCGCAAAGAGCTACGGGAGGGAAAATGTGAGCGGGTCGCCCCTCCGCCATTGTGACCCGCACAGGCTCGTGTATTTACTGAATTTTAAATGAGTTTTGAAGTAGAGTAGGGATGCATATCGCTTACGAGAAAGCATCTCAGCCTAGCCTGTGTTTGGTCTTGCGGAGTAGCTTGCTAAAGTTCCTGAGCTTTAGTTAAGTGTGTGTGAAACAGTGAGAATATTGAAAATGCTTGTTTCCTTAAACCTTGATACTTAGCATAGCCTGGGATGGGCAGCCTGGGCATAGGGCCTTCCCCGGGAGCTTCTTGGCATCTCCCAGCAGAAGCAGCGGCAGGTGGCTCGGGTCAGCAGAAGGCCTGGGCCGAGCTGGGTGGTGACCGGTCCTCTGTCTGTCCACAGTGTGGGCGATGCCGTCCTGGGGCTGGTCTGCGTGGTACTGCTGCTGGTGCTGAAGCTGATGCGGGACCACGTGCCTCCCGTCCACCCTGAGATGCCCCCCGGCGTGCGGCTTAGCCGAGGGTTGGTCTGGGCTGCCACAACAGGTGAGGGCCTCAGCTCACATTGTGTGCAGCCTCGGCTGCATGTTGGGGCCACTTGGGGAGTCCTGAATCCCACCCTGCGAGATTTAATGTCATTGGTCTGGGTGTAACTTCAGCATTGGGACATTTAAAACTGCACACAAAACTCTGGGACTTATTTATTAAATTTTTTTATTTTTATCTTTTAGTAGTATTTCTTTTTTGGAGATGGAATCTCGCTCTGTTGGCCAGGCTAGAGTGCCGTGGTGTGATCTCAGCTCGGTGCAACCTCCACCTCTCGGGTTCCTGTGATTCTCCTGCCTCAGCCTCCCGAGTAGCTGGGATTACAGGCATGCGCCACCACACCTGGCTTTTTGTATTTTTAGTAGATACAGGGTTTCACCATGTTGACCACGCTGGTCTCAAACTCCTGACCTCAAGTGGCTCACCTCGGCCTCCCAAAGTGCTGGGATTACAGGCGTGAGCCACCAAACTGTGACATTTAAAACTGCAAACCAAACTCAGTGTGGTTCTGATCCACAGCCGGAGCTGAGAGCTGGTCTGCTGCAGCAGTCCTCACCTGAAGCAGTTTTGCCCCCCGGTGACATTTAGCAATGTCGGGAAACATTTTTGGTGGATACCACCGGGCGAGACCGTTGCTGGCAACTAGCCAGGAGAGGTCAGGGATGCCGCCAGACCCCTGATGGTGTGCTGGCTTCCACAACTGTCAGTGACCTGCCCAAAATGTCAGCAGCACCGAGGTAAGAAGTCAGGTCTACTGGCAGGTCCTGTGGAGAGAAAACAGATTCCACTGCGAACAGCGGGCTGTGTTTGAATTGTGCAGCTTGCTGGGGCACAGCTTCAGCTTCGGGCCTGGAGGCCGCAGGCTGAGCCACAGATAACCAGGGGTCCTTTGAGAAGGGGAGAGGGGAGGACTGCATAGTGGGAGAAGCAGCAGGGCCATTAGCAGGTGAAGGAGCACCTGGGGAGGTGGAAGCCTCTTCTCAGTGCATCCAGGATAGGCACGGGTCCCCTGGCTGAGCTCCGGGCAGGGCTACCCAGAGAGGAAGTCACACCCAGGAAAGTCAGGAAGCGTAGGCGAATCCGAGCCTTCACAGAGCTGAGGGGAAGGATTAAGCACAGAATAGGCTGAGCTTGGCCCTGCTGTTCGGGGGCTGCATAATCCAACAGCTAGAGGAGAGAGACGGTGGCTCGATTTAGCCCTTGAGTCACCTCCAGCTGCCTGGGCTGGTCTGTTCCCCCAGTCACTCCCTGGATCCTGTTCCGTAGACTTGAGGCCGTGGTGAACACAGCCTGGTGGGGTGGAGAGAGCCCTGGGTGTAGAGTGGAAAAGCCTGGCTTCCAGTCCCAGCCTGGCCTGTGTTTAGACTTGCAGAGTAGCCAGCCGAAGTTCCTGCACCTTAGTTCAGTTATCCGTGAAATAGTGAAAACGCTTTGTTATCTACTTTTCTTTTTTTAGGAGATGGAGTCTCACTCTGTCACGCAGCCTGGAGGGCAGTGGTGCAATCTCGGCTCACTGTAACCTCCACCTCCACCTCCTGGGTTCAAGTGATTATCCCAGCTCAGCATCCTGAGTACCTGAGATTACAGGTGTTTTGCACCACCACACCCGGCTTTTATATTTTTAGTAGAGATAGGTTTTCACCATGTGGGCCAGGCTAGTCTCAAACTCTTGACCTCAAGTGATCCCACCCTCCTCAGCCTCCCAAAGTGCTGAGATTTCAGGCATGAGCCACCACACCCAGCCCTTGCTTTGTTATCTTAAACCTTGAGACTCAGAGTGTGGCCTGGAACCAGCAGCCTAGGCACTGGGCATCCCCCGGGAGCTTACTGGAAATGCAGGGTCTCAGGCCCCCTGCAGATATCTGAATCAGAATCTATTCTTCAGGGGATGTCCAGGGGACTCATGGGATCACCTTAGAAGTGATCAGGCTTGGAGACCAGGCATGATGGCTCACACCTGTAATCCCAGCACTTTGGGAGGCCAAGGCAGGCTGACACCTGAGGTCAGGAGTTTGAAACCAGCCTGGCCAACATGGCAAAACCACGTCTCTACTAAAAATACAAAAATTAGCTGGGTGTGCTGGCGCATGGCTGTGATCCCAGCTACTTGGGAGGCTGAAGCTGGAGAATCACTTGAACCCGGGAGGCGTAAGTTGCGGTGAGCTGAGATCACGTCACTGCACTCCAGCCTGGCAACAGAGTGAGACTCCATCTCGAAAAAAAGAAAAGTGCGAAATGCTGAGACACCCCAGGTTTCTCAGAGACTTTTGTATTTCCTTAGGCAATGACCAGTCAGGTGCGGCCACAAGGGGAGACGGAAAAAGGCTCAGGAAAAAAAGAAAGTTTATTGTACTCACAGGTCCTAGCGACAGGAGGCACAGCACGCCACGTAGGGCCACGTAGGGCCACGTCAGAAGACACCAGGGTGGCCAGGAGGAGAAGCCAAAAGCTAGAGGATGGTTTCGGCCACAGCCTTTGTTGAGGTTTTCATGACAGAAGCAAGGCGGGGAAGGGTGATAGAGGCAGTTTCATCCAGTGTGGAAACTGCGCACCCTTCTTTTATACTACCTGCTCATGAGATTCCACAGACCTTTGCAGACTCCCAGCGCTGTATTTCCCGCACCTTGAAGCAGTTCCCACAGCTCGCTGTTGCCCTGGGCTTTGCAGTCCTGTCCTTGGTGTTTCATTTTGTATCGTTTCTAGTGTTACATTTTATCCTTTTCTCTGTGATGCCCCAGCTGTTGTTAATTGCATCAAGTGCTTGTTTCATTTCTCACACTGTGGTTTTCATTTCTAGAAATTCGATTTGAATCTTTTTTTCCTTTTTTTTTTTAAAGACACAGTTTCTCTCTGTCGTTCAGGCTGGAGCGCAATGGCATGATCTTGGCTCGCTGTAACTTCTGGCCTCCCAGGTTCCAGCGATTCTCCTGCCTCAGCCTCCCAAGTAGCTGGGATTACAGGTGTCCGCCACCACGCCCAGCTAATTTTTTGTATTTTTAGTACAGATGGGGGTTTTGCCATGTTGGCCGAGATGGTCTCGAACTCCTGATCTTAGGTGATCCACCCACCTCAGCCTCCCAAAGTGCTGGGATTAAAGGCATAGCTACCCCACCCAGCCTTAATTTGAATGTTTTAAAATGTATCTTTTACATTGTTACTTAACAGTCTTAATGTTTCCTCTAGTTCTTTAAGTAAGTGGAATTTGGTTATTCTTTTAATGTCCTGTTAATTAAATTTCATTTGGTTACAGTTACTTTTTTGAGACTGAGTCTCACTCTATCACCCAGGCTGGAGTACAGTGGCTTGGCTCACTGTAACCTCCACCTGTTGGGTTCAAGCAATTCTCCTGCCTCAGCCTCCTGAGTAGCTGGGACTACAGGCACCTGCCAGCACACCTGGCTAATTTTTGTATTTTTTTTCTTTAGTAGAGATGGGGTTTCACTATGTTGGCCAGGCTGGTCTTGAACTCCTGACCTTGTGATCCACCTGCCTTGGCCTCCCAAAGTGCTAAGATTACTGGCATGAGCCACTGTGCCCCGTCTGGATCTGACTTTTAAGCTTTGTTAGCTGGACCAGAGCAGTGTTCATTCTAGGGCGATCCTAATCTGGCCCACCAGTTGATTTTGTAAACAAAGTTTTATTGGAAGAGCCAGTCCCATTCATTTACATTGTCTGTGTCTGCTTTTATGCAATAATAGGCTTGAGCAGTTGCACCAGAGACTTTATGGCCCACAAAGCAAAAAGGTTTTAGTATTTAGCCCTTTACAGAAAAAAATTGCCAACACCAGGCCTTGGGCTAATCTTCCCCACTGCTGAGGTAAAACCCTCAGGAGCCCCTGATGCTCCATGAATGATGAGGGTTTTTCACTCTGGTGTGAGTCCTGGGATTGTAACCCTCTTCGTGTCTTTTCCTAACTGTGGGTTTGGGTCATTTCCGTCCAGCTTTGCCTTATTCGGTTCTCTGCTGCACACCGAAGGCACCTCTGCAGATGTCTGCAGCTCTGTCCCCGGCTGCCCTGTCTGCTCCTGTGACCTGGCTGTCAGCTGCAGCCACAGGCCTCCTTCGACTCCCTTCCAGCATTGCCTCTGAACTCAGGGAGACCCCTGGGCTCTGCTAGGGGGCCCCCTCCACACACAGGGAGACCATCAGAGAAGTCGCAGACAGCCATCAGGGCAGTGACAGACGTGCCTCCCTTGTTTCCCGTGGCCGCCCTGCCCGCTGTCTGGCAGCTTGGAGGCCGTTGTTTGGGGCAGGGGATAAATCTGGTTTCTTCCTCCCTTGTGCTTTGAGGTGGATGCACCCTGGGCACCTGCTTTCAGAGAGTCTTTGCCTCATTGTGTGATGTGCGGTGGCCTGGAGCTTGGCAGTGGGTGGCACGTGCGCCTGTCCGTGGCCTGCGGCTTTGCCGAACCACCTGCTGTGCTCGTGCTGCCACGTGGCACTTGTGTCTGGGCCGTATTTCCCAGAGTGCAGAGTGAGGACTGTGGCCCAGCGGGGGCATCTTCTGCCCCTGGGGCATCTGCCCCAGTCACCTGGAGGCAGCCACACTACCCCACACTCGCCAGAGTAGGGTCCTGGATGCCCCTCTGCTTCTCTCCTAGCTCGCAGTGCCCTGGTGGTCTCCTTCGCGGCCCTGGTTGCGTACTCCTTCGAGGTGACTGGATACCAGCCTTTCATCCTCACTGGGGAGACAGCTGAGGGGCTCCCTCCAGTCCGGACCCCGCCCTTCTCAATGACCACAGCGAACGGGACGATCTCCTTCACCGAGATGGTGCAGGTGGGCAGAGCCAGGAGCCAGGATGGCGTGGCCGAGGCTGCAGTGGCCCCTGGTGTGGCCCCTACCCTGATGCGTCTGCTGGATGCCAGGGGGTCTGAGGTCAGTTAGGACAACCGAGTCCTCAGGGAGGGACATCTCAGTTATTAAAGAATCCCAGGTCAGATGCAAGCTCAGCGAGCTCAGGGATGTTACGTTGTGTTCCCGCCCGGGGCGCAGGGGTGCTTCTCCCGTTGTGGACTCCAGCTGAGGATGAATATGCTGTGTTCCTGCCAGCACATTCAGACACATTCTGGTACCTCTTCAGACAAGGAGGGTCATCCTGCGGCTGACAAGCACGTGCTCCTGTTTCCTGTGGGGGAGGGTGGCCCTCACTGCATTCATGGGTCACACCCCTTAGGAAGGCCGCTCACCATCCCTCTCTCCTCTCTCAGGACATGGGGGCTGGGCTGGCTGTGGTGCCCCTGATGGGCCTCCTGGAAAGCATTGCAGTGGCCAAAGCCTTCGGTAAGACGCCTGTCACCCATGCCCCAGGTCTCCCGGCGCGCCGGCTGGGCTAGGCCTGCCTCCTTTCTAGCTCGCCTTTGTCTGTTCCCGTTTTAGAAACTTGAATTTGTATCCCAGTAATACATGCTCATGATACACATGTACATATTCTGTATATACGATAAAAATGGGTCTATAACAAGCCACTGCCCTCCCACCCCACAGTGTGTGCAGTGAGTGTTTTAACAGCCCGCTCTTTGTGGCAATAAAAGGTTTTGGTTCGTGACCCTTGCAGATGTCCGTGGTGTAAATGCTGCTGACTGAGTTTAAGCTGACGGGACATCACTGAACAGGGAGTTTGCACGTGGAACTTGGACGAGGTGTGCATGAGCACCCATATTCTGTGGCACCTCTACCACCTTGTTACCATGGGTGCGAGTAACCTCATCAGCGACAGATGCCAAATTAATTCAGAAGTGGCGAGCTTCAAGTATCATCTTTGGGCCAGGTGTGGTGGCTCAGGCTTGTAATCCCAACACTTTGGGAGACCAAGGTGGGAGGAGCGCTGGAGCTCAGGAGTTTGAATCCCACCTGGGCAAGATAATGAGACCTCGTTTTTATGAAAAATAGAAATTAGCCAGGCACAGAGCACACCTGCGGTACCAGCTGCTCGGGAGGCTGAGGCAGGAGGATCAGCTGAGCCAGCAGGTCGAGGTAGTATTGAGCTGTGACAGCGTCTCTGCGCTTTAGCCTGGGCGGCAGAGCAAGATCCTGTATTATCTGTTTAATTGAAAGTTTTAATTTAGCTGGGTGCGGTGGCTCACGCCTGTAATCCTAGCACTGTGGGAGGCTGAGGTCGGTGGATCACTCTCTGAGGTCAGGAGTTCAAGACCAGCCTGGCCATCATGGTGAAACGCTATCTTTAAAAAAAAAAAAAAAAGTTTTTTTTTTTTTTTTGAGACGGAGTTTCGCTGTTGTTGCCCAGACTGGAGTGCAATGGCACGATCTCGGCTTACTGCAACCTCCGCCTCCTGGGTTCAAGCAATTCTCCTGCCTCAGCCTCCCCAGTAGCTGGGATTACAGGCATGCAGCATCATGCTCAGCTAATTTTTTGTATTTTTAGTAGAGACGGGGTTTCACCATGTTGACCAGGATGGTCTCGATCTCCTGACCTCGCGATCCACCCGCCTCGGCCTCCCAAAGTGCTGGGATTACAGGCGTGAGCCACCGCGCCCGGCCCAAAAAGTTTTAATTTAATTGGAAATAATGACTGTGTTTCTTAACAGGCTCACAAACTCCTAAACACTGAACAACAAGCTTCATTCAGCTGGCTCGACCCCTCGGCCGGCCCCTCCTCGCCCCCAGGGAGGCAGGGAAGCAGTAACCCCCTCTGTGTCTAGGTTGAGTCAGCATCTCTACATTCCCTCCTTGCAGTTTGTCCATCACTCGCCCCGTCCTGTGGGGATGACAGCTTCATTCTAACTTGTCACCGTTATTGAGTCCTTGTGTTTGGGCTCCTGTTGCCTCTAAAGGTGAAAACCCAATTAACACTGTCTGTTATTGTGTTCACTGCCTAGTCCAGGCTGTACAGCATGAAGCTCCTTCTCCCAAGTCCCAGTGCGCAGACCCTTACTCCCTTCAAAGGAGATTCTCTTTTTTTTTTTTTTTTTTTTTTGAGACAGGGTCTCACTTTGTGGCCCAGGCTGGAGTGCAGTGGCGCAATCTCTGCTCACTGCAACCTCCACTTCCCAGGTTTAAGCAATTCCCGTGCCTCAGCCTCCAGAGTAGCTGGGACTACAGGTGTGTACCACCACGCCCAGCTAATCTGCATTTTTAGTCAACAGCCACTGTTGACTTTGTGTTTAAGCCACAAAGCTTAAAATACTGACAAGCTGGTCCTTTACAGGAAAGTGTGCCAAGCTCTGAATTAGATGCATGCTTTTGTTCCTTCTCCTGAAATCTTCGCCTGCTCGCCTCTCGGAGATGGCTCATCTTGGACTTGCTAGCCATCTCAACTGGTAATCAGAGAGGTTTCCAGTTTAAAATATTTTTCTCGGCCAGGCGCGGGGGGTCATGCCTGTAATCCCAGCACTTTGGGAGGCCAAGGAGGGCGGATCCCTCCACCTCCAGGGTTCAAGAGATTCTCCTGCCTCAGCCTCCTGAGTAGCTGGGACTATAGGCACACACCACCATGCCCAGCTAATTGTATTTTTTGCAGAGATGGGGTTTTGCCATGTTGCCCAGGCTGGTCTTGAACTCCTGGACTCAAGCAGTCCTCCTGCCTTGGCCTCCCAAAGTGCTGGGATTACAGCCATGAGCCGCCGCGCCCAGCCTGTTTACGGGGTACAATACCTATTCCCACTCTGTTACACTCAAGCACACGTTTACATGTGGCTATTTTAGATGTGTATTCATAGTGATATATATGTATTTTTTTTTTTTTTTTTTTGAGGCGGAGGTTTTTCCTTCTTGCTACCCAGGCTGGAGTGCAATGGCGCAATCTTGGCTCACCACAACCTCTGCCTCCTGAGTTCAGGCAATTCTCCTGCCTCAGCCTCCTGAGTAGCTGGGATTACAGGCACGTGCCACCATGCCCAGCTGATTTTTTGTATTTTTAGTAGAGACGGGGTTTCACCATGTTGACCAGGATGGTCTCGATCTCTTGACCTCGTGATCCACCCGCCTCGGCCTCCCACAGTGCTGGGATTACAGGCGTGAGCCACCGCGCCCGGCCACCTAGTTATATTTATAAAATTTACTGCCGTACGTAGAAGTTCATGATCTGTTTTACATTTTGTGAATGTTTTCCAGCGATGTTGAATATCAGTGACAATCTTTACTGTTCCTTCCCTTTAGCATCTCAGAATAATTACCGCATCAATGCCAACCAGGAGCTGCTGGCCATCGGTAAGACCCCAGCCACAGGGAAGACCTCAGCCACGGGGGAGACCCCAGCCACGGGCAAGACCCCAGCCACGGGGAAGACCCCAGCCACGGGGGAGACCCCAGCCACGGGGGAGACCCCAGCCACGGGGAAGACCTCAGCCACAGGGAAGACTCCAGTCATAGGACGACACCAGCCTCAGGGAAGACCCCAGCCATGGGGACAACCGCAGCCTCAGGGAAGACCTCAGGGATGACCCTAGCCTCAGGGAAGACCCCAGCTGTGGGCCTCCAGGGGGGCCTATTGCTGTGTCTCCTGCATCATAGGAGGACTGTGAGGGTAGTGATGAATTGGGGGGGCAGAGGTGGCTCCAGATGGGCTCTTCCGGAATTTTTTTTTTTCTTTTTTTTGAAATGGAGTCTTGCTCTGTCACCCAGGCTGGAGTGCAGTGGCATGATCTTGGCTCACTGCAACCTCCACCTCCTGCATTCAAGTGATTCTCCTACCCCAGCCTCCTGAGTAGCTGGGATTACAGGCGTGCACCACCACACCTGGCTTATTTTTGTATTTTTAGTAGAGACGGGTTTCACCATGTTGGCCAGGCTGGTCTCGAACTCCTGACTTCCGGTGATCCGCCCGCCTCAGCCTCTCAAAGTGCTGGGATTACAGGAATGAGCCACTGTGCTGGCTCTTGTGGAATAGTAATAAGGATTCGTTCCCAGAGCTCCACACTGTTCAGTTGAATCCCTAAGAATGCAGAGCTGACATCTGCTGTCTGTCCCACCACTTACTGAGCGCCTGCTGCATACCCGACTCTGATGCCTGTAGCCTAGGTCTGCGTCCAGGAACACCTGCGGTGTCCCACCTTGGGGAGGGAGGAACCTCAGAGGAGTCTTCTGGTTGTGGCCACACCCTCCCCTGCGACTCGCTCCAGGCAGGGGCAGGTGGATTTGTGATACCTGGGGGCCCCGAGTTGCCTGCCTGTGGTGGGGTCATGCCTGCTTTCACGGCTTAGTTTCCTCTCATTATGTCTCTGTGGGCTGACCTCTTAGTGGTATATTTTGAGACCACAGTGTGAATCTTCAATTCAGTTATCACGACTGAGTCGTGGGTCCCAGGCCTTCCTGCCTTTTCCTTCTCGCCCCTCGTGAGACTGGCGTGCAGGGTAACCCAGGGAGCACCGTGGGCTCCTTCGAAAACGGGGTGTCCACCCAGATAATTTCACAAGAGCCACGTGGCTTCTTGACAGCAAAGCAAGTGACCCAAGTTGGGTCACAGAAGAACGCTGTCCGGGCTCCTCTCTGAGCCGTGGAGAACGGGGCATTGTCCAGCTGAGTGGTGGAGCACGGGCCTCCTAGGAAACATACCCTCAGGCTGAGAAAATCCACAGCCTCCCCCGAGCCCTCCTCACCAGTAAATCTTCCAAATGTGACTTCCCAGACCATCCCATTCCTGTTACTTTCCTGGAGTGCAGTGGCATGGTCTCAGCTCACTGCAACCTCCACCTCCCAGGTTCAAGCAATTCACCTGCCTCAGCCTTCTGAGTAGCTGGGATTACAGGCACCTGCCCCCTCGCCCAGCTAATTTTTGTATTTGTATTTTTAAAATTTATTTATTTTTGAGACGGAGTCTCACCCTCTTGCCAGGGTGGAGTGCAGGGGTGCAATCTCAGCTCACTGCAACCTCTGCCTCTCAGGTTCAAGTGATTCTCCTGCCTCAGCCTCCCGAGTAGCTGGGATTACAGGTGAGCGCCACCATGCCCAGCTAATTTTCTGTTGCATTTTTAGTAGAGATGGGGTTTCACTGTGTTAGCCAGGATGGTCTCCCATCTCCTGACCTTGTGATTTGCCCGCCTCAGTCTCCCAAAGTGCTAGGATTACAGGAGTCAGCCACCTCACCTGGCCCTTTTTGTATTTTTAGTGGAGACGGGGTTTCACCATGTTGGCCAGGATGGTCTCGAACTCCTGATATCTGGTGATCTGCCCACCTTGGTCTCCCAAAGTGCTGGGATTACAGGCCTGAGCCACAGCCCCTGGCCCTATTCCCATTATTTAAAAATACCACAGAACTATTCTGATGGCACACTGAGTTCTAGGAATGTGACCCACATAGAGTGAAGGTCACGGTTACCATGGCAGCCATGGGACTCCTTGATCTCAGGTAGGCCAGGCTGATGTGGGCTGATGTGCACCCACGAAGGCCAAGCTGGGAGGGGTTGCCCCGTCAGCAGCAGCTCACAGAGTCAGGTCCCCAGCTCAAGCTGTTGTAGAGTGAGGGTGACCCCGTGCAGCCTGCAGTCACCACAGGCCTCTGCTGAGCTCTCCCACCCCTGCATTTCCGTGCCCTAGCCCCTGTTTCTCAGGGCCGTGAGCTGGGCCATGGGACCCGGGCTGGTGCTGACTTGGCCCCACCCCTGTGAGACCTGACACCCCACTGTGGATCTTAGCAGGAGGGACTCGGGCCTTTGTGACACCCCAGGTGAGACAGATGCTGGTGGCAATGTGGGGTCTGGCTGAGCAGTGATCCCTGTTCCCGGGCCCCAGTGATGCTGCGGCTCAGGCTTTGTCTGGTGTAGGCAGCCAGCATCACCCGAGGAGACCGTGTACCAGCCACAGCCTCCGACCTCACTGTGGCTGTTGTCTCAGGAGTGCTGGGGTTGAAGGGAACTGGGTGGAGAATGTGGCAGTCACTGACCTCCCGAGCACGTAGGATTTGTCTTACAGGCACTTCCTTCTCAGCCGTCATGCCCTCCTGGGTGGTGAGATGCTCCCTTCCGTTCTGCGTGGGGAAGGCGTGTCCTGGTCACACAGGAGAGGCTGGGTGGCAAGTGTTTGAAAGCTGGGACCTGGCCGGGCGCAGGGCTCACGCCTGTGATCCCAGCACTTTGGGAGGCCGAGGCAGGTGGATCACCCGAGGTCAGGAGTTCAAGACCAGACTGTCCAACATGACAAAACCTCATCTCTACTAAAAATTCAAAAATCAGCCAGGCATGGTGCTGCACGCCTGTAGTCTCAGCTGCTTGGGAGGCTGAGGCAGGAGAATCACTTGAGTTGGGAGGTGGAAGCTGCAGTGAGTCGAGATCCTGCCACTGTACTCCGGCCTGGGCAACAGGCTGTGTTGCAAAAAAAATGGCCAGGTGTGGTGGCTCCTGTCTATAATTCCAGCACTTTGGGAAGCCAAGGTGGGCGGACCACCTGAGGTCGGGAGTTCGAGACCAGCCCGACCAACATGGAGAAAGCCTGTCTACTAAAATACACAATTAGCTGGGCGTGGTGGCTCATGCCTGTAATCCCAGCTACTCCGGAGGCTGAGGCAGGAGAATTGCTTGAATCCTGGTAGCGGAGGGTGTGGTGAGCTGAGATCATGCCATTGCACTCCAGCCTAGGCAACAAGAGTGAATCTCTGTCTCAAAAATGGCTGTGTGTCTATAAGAGCGTGGCCTGTTTTCTTCCTTCCCTGAAAAAGTACGAAGGCTCAGGCTCCCAGGATGTCTCCTGACCCTGCCTTCCTGCCTCCCTTCTGGGTTTCTGTCCCCCTCCCCATCTCCTTTCCCTCCATCCTGTATGTCTTCCCTCCCGGATCGGCCTGTCTTGCTTCCTCCCCAGGCCTCACCAATGTGCTGGGCTCCCTCGTCTCCTCCTACCCGGTCACAGGCAGCTTCGGACGGTGAGTGACCTGTCCTCCTCCTCTGTTTGCCCATGTCGTACGCCTTTACGTTGTTATCCTGACGCGTCTGCCTGCCCTGACCCCAGTGCCCTGTCAGCTGTGAACTCTCTGTGGAGAGGAAGGGCTGGGGGTCACCCTGCTGTCCCCCAGGGTGTCCTCTGTTTCTTTACTCTCATAGACAGTCCTGCAGTTTAGTACTAGAAAGTCCACTGGGTGAAGTGGTACACCCTTGCTATCCCATTTACCCTGGAGGCAGAGGCGGGAGAATCACTTGAGCCCAGCAGGCTGAGGCTGAAGTGAGCTGTGATTGTGCCTCTGCACTCCAGCCTGGGCGACAGAGCGAGACCCTCTCTCTGAAACAGATACTGGAAAGTTCCCAGCATGCCAAAGCCCTCCTAGCTCTTGGTGCCAGAGTCAATTCCTAAAAGGATGTGGAGACAGGAAGGGCTAGCTCTGCCCTGAAGTCAGGCCTGAGGTTTATCCCAGACGCCCTAGGGCCCTTCCTCAGTCAGGACAGCGGGATGGGGGTGACCTGTGGCTTCAAGGAGGGAAAGAGGGATCGCCTGGTCCCCCAGCTGCTGACGCTGACCCTGCTGGATATGGGGCGCCCACCTGGATGGGGGCAGGAGACAAAGCCTGCAGGACCCCGAAGGGACGCATGCTTCTGGAACATGAGACCTGTGCCTTCCTGTGGTCAGGTGGCCTGTGACTGCACCCTAAGTCTCTTGGCCTCAGCCCCCTTGCAGTCCCCCCGCCCCGCCACTTCCTAAGCCGTGCTTGGAGCCGACGTCCCCTCGGAAGGTCAGCCACAGGGATGTGGACTGAGGGTTCCCCTGTCCCGGCCCCTGGTGACTGACAGTCTCTTTGTTGCCTTCCAGGACAGCCGTGAATGCTCAGTCGGGGGTGTGCACCCCGGCGGGGGGGCTGGTGACGGGTGAGGCCCCCGTCTTCCCCCTGTGCCCTCAGCCCTGAGAGCGGGAGAAAGGGAGGAGGGGGCCCGCAGAGATGTCCCTTTGGCTTATGGGCCGTGTGTCCCAGGACTGCACAGGGACTTGGGGGGCCACATGGGTGGGGGGACCACAGGAGACTGAGCAGGGGCTGGGGGCCTTGGCGCTCATGGCCTGTCCCCACTCCTGTCCCCGGTGGGCTCCTCTGAACAGGAGGCTGCTGCGCTGCATGCTGGGGGATCCTGTGCCCGAGTCACCCGTGTCCCCACGCCCCGCAGGAGTGCTGGTGCTGCTGTCTCTGGACTACCTGACCTCGCTCTTCTACTACATCCCCAAGTCTGCCCTGGCCGCCGTGATCATCATGGCCGTGGCCCCGCTGTTCGACACCAAGATCTTCGGGACGCTCTGGCGCGTTAAGAGTATGTCCTTGTCCCTGCAGGGGAGAGCGCTGTGATGCGGTGTCTGTGAACACAGAGGGTGTCCTTGGTGCTGCCCATTTTCCTGCAGCCACAGCTCCGGGGCTAGGGCTGGGAAGTCAGGCTGGTCCCGGAACAGAGGAGTGGACGGCCAGAAGACGGACCCAGAGATGGCCCCAAGTCTCAGCAGGAAGAGCTGGAGCTGACAAATGGGGTCCTGAGGGGAGCACTGGCCCGGGGGAGGGTCCCCTCCTGATCCCCCTGCCCCATCCCTGCCCTCCCTGCTGCCCACCTCCAGCCACTGCTCTGCTGGGCCCAGCTGGGGGAGGGACAGGAGACGTCCTCTGGTGACCTGCAGGGGCAGCGGAACAGCCTTGCACTCTGGCTCTGAATGGCGGTTCCTTTAAACACATTGTTTTCTTTTGTTTGTGGAAGGAGGATGGAAAGGGTTCACATAGCTTATTTGGTATCTTCTGGGCAGCCTCAGCAAGTTGCCAGGTGAAAAGATGGATGGTTTTATTGCATGCCAGGGAAACCGAGGTTCAGCCAGGGTGGGATGGGCCTGACTCGCGCGTGCGGTGGAATCCCCCAGGCCTGAGCCCTGAGCCCGTACATTCACTGTGTCGCCAGGGCACCCCAGGCTGGCACTGTGCCCTGACAAGGCTCTGTGGCCCTGCTGCTGCCCTCCCCGAGGTTGAAGGCCGGGGACGAGCTGGGCGTGTCTCACCTGTGCTGAGTTCAGATGGGGAGGCGGCCATTTCCTTCCTTCGACTTGAAGCGTGGCCTGATCAGCAACTGCTGTCCCCAAGTCCTCAGGAGTCCCCTCGGGGGCTGCTCTGGGTCCATGAGACCTTTACTCATGTGGGGGGCAGAAAGCTGTCCCGCTGGTCAGCGGGGCCATGTTGGGGGTCGGGTGGCTGCTGACCCTCAGCCGCACCCTTCTCTTAGGGCTGGACCTGCTGCCCCTGTGCGTGACGTTCCTGCTGAGCTTCTGGGAGATGCAGTACGGCATCCTGGCCGGGGCCCTGGTGTCCCTGCTCATGCTCCTGCACTCCGCAGCCAGACCCGAGACCAAGGTACCCGCCTGTGGCCTCGGGGGGCATGCTGGGGGCAGGATTCCTGGGTGTGGTCTTAATGTTTTGAGGGTCCAGGGCGATCGTGGTCGCGGGTGCTGCTGAAGGGGACGGCTCGCTGGCAGGCGGGCAACCACCTTGCTGTAAACCGTTCTCCTGCACGGGGCTGTGGGGGGTCTACCCTTAGCACCCCACTCCCGGTCCCCTCCAGCGTGCTGGGTTGGGTGGGGGGCTTCCCACTTGGGACAGGCCAAGCCTGGTGGAGGCTGCCGGGTCAGACCTGCCTCCAGGCCTCACTCCTTCCCACAGGTATCAGAGGGGCCAGTTCTGGTTCTGCAGCCGGCCAGCGGCCTGCACTTCCCTGCGGTGGAGGCTCTGCAGGAGGAGATCCTAAGCCGGGCCCTGGAAGGTACGTGGGTGGGGGCCAAGGTGGCCTGAGGTCACCTGTCACTCCCCTGTTCTCTGCCCCCAACTCCCAGCTCTTCAGGACTCCAGGGCCCTGTCCCCAACGCTGTCCAGTCCACAAGGATTCAGGCATCTCCGAGTGGACAGGACTCCGCCCTGTGGGCCCTCAGCCAGTGACCGCTGCAGCAAGGGTGGTGGTTCCCCATGTGTCGCTCCTTCCCTGCCCCTAAAGTCCCATTCCTGTTTCTGGGGGGCTGATTTTAGGGGAGTCAGGGGTCTGTCAGTCCCGGGAGGGAAATTGCTGCTGCTGTCCCCAAACAGTTGTGTCACTGGTTCTGCCGTGCGGATCCCCCAGCTGGGCGACTCAGCCCCCGTGAGATGGAGCACTCTGGCCTCTGCTCCTGGCCGGAGCCTCCTTTGGTCTCTGCAGCGCGGCCTTGGGCTGCTCTGCGTGGCGTGACCCGACTCGGGCCTGTCTCCCCAGTGTCCCCGCCACGCTGCCTGGTCCTGGAGTGCACCCACGTCTGCAGCATCGACTACACCGTGGTGCTGGGGCTTGGTGAGCTCCTCGAGGACTTCCACAGGCAGGGCGTCGCCCTGGCCTTCGTGGGTCTGCAGGTGGGTGTGCCATGGGCTGCCTTGGGTCACTCCTCTGCCCCCTCCTGTGGTGAATGTGACATCTCTGGGGTGATACTAGATGGCCCCTTGGCCGGCGCTGGCTCTACGTGTGATTTAAAAGGTTCCCGTCCCCATCTGACCTTCCTCATCCCTCCCTGTGGAATGAGGAGCGGTGGCCCCCAGCCCTCTGAGGAGTCACATGGCTTCATTTCCCCGGTGGTCACTGCCATGCTGTCCTCAATGCTGGGGACACACAAGTGAATGAGGATCAGTCCCTGCCCCTGCTCTCAGGGGAATTATATTTTAGGTAACACAAACAGTCAGGGAAGGCTGGGTGTAGTGGCTCATGGCTGTAATCCCAGCACTTTGGGAGGCTGAGGCAGGTGGATCGCCTGAGGTCAGGAGTTCGAGACCAGCCTGGCCAACATGGTGAAACCCCATGTCTACACCCTCGTGTGGAGGTGAAGCTGTACCTTCCTGGGAGGCTCTGAGATTTCGTGTCCACCAGGCCGCCTACCTGTGTGCTGCAGAGGAACATCCCTGCCCTGGCTAAAGTCTGTCTGTTCCTCAGGTCCCCGTTCTCCGTGTCCTGCTGTCTGCTGACCTGAAGGGGTTCCAGTACTTCTCCACCCTGGAAGAAGCAGGTGGGTGCAGTCAGACATCCTGCAGCTTTGGTGATTTTGCAAAAATCCTAAATGCTTATTGTAAAAAATATGGGGAACTGGCTGGGCGTGGTGGCTCACGCCTGTAATCCCAGCACTTTGGGAGGCCAAGGTGGACGGATCATCTGAGGTCAGGAGTTCGAGATCAGCCTGGCCAACATGATGAAACCTCGTCTCTACTAAAAATACAAAAATTAGCTGGGTGTGGTGGTGGGCGCCTGTAATCCCAGCTATTCAGAAGGCCAAGGCAGGAGAATCGCTTGAACCCAGGAGGCGGAGATCACAGTGAGCTGAGATTATCCCACTGCACTCCAGCCTGGGTCAGAGAGCGACACTCTGTCTCAAAAAAAGAACAACAACAGAAAAAACAGAAAACCACCTCCACTCCAGCCTGCTTTGGTGGTCACTCCAGACCCCTCCCCTAAACATGCATATGTACCTTTCTGTCATTGTGAGTATGTATGCTTGCAGTTTTACGTAAGCGGGATCGTTTTATACCTGGTGCTCTGTGACGCACATTTTTCATGCAGAAGGTTGGAAGCATGTGCTTCCAGCTGGGAGTCCACATCCCAAGGGATCAGGACACAGCAGGGTCAGGTCAGGAGATCCAGAAGCCCTGGGCGAGGAGGGCCAGGAGGGACAGGAACAGGGTGGGCGCTGATCCCTGAGAGAGCGATGGGAGGGGTCTGAGCAGCAGCGGGGGTCAAGAAGAGGATGGGGCAGAGAAGCAGAGCACCCACCGCAGGCCACACAGCAAGGTCCAGAGGGTCCCAGGCCCCAGTGCTGGGCCTGTTTCTCTTCCAGTGAGGTCACAGCTGATGCAGGGTCAGCTCCGCGAGAGTGAGAGGTGGCGGATGTTGTAGCGGCTTCCTTGGCTCAATGTGACGTCAGGGAGATTCACCCACGTTGTTGCAGAAGCAGGTGCAGTGCACTGGGGATGGGTAAGCCAGCTGTGGCCTGGCTGTGTGGTGGGAGGGGACCCTGAGCAGTAAGAAAAGGCCGTGAGTCACCTGGAAAATACGCTTACAGAGACTCAGGAGAGACCCCCACAGAGTTAGCGATGCTGGCCTGAATGGCACACAGCTCCCTCCTGTGCACCTTCCAGGACCCTGAAAACCCTTTCCGTGAACTCACCCATCCTCACCTCTGAGCTTTTAGTGCTTAAAAAACGTGTTGTATTTTCTGCAGAGAAATACCTGAGGCAGGAGCCGGGGACCCAGCCCTACAACACCAGAGAAGACTCCACTCCAGAACACAAGATTGCTCTGCTGCAGGCGTAGTGGGGCACCATGGGCCTCCACAGTTGCAGGATGTTCTGGAAGGTTCTTGTCACTGTGATTGGATGCTGGATGCCACCTGATAGACATGCTGGCCTGGCTGAGAAACCGCGGAGCAGGTGACCCCGGGGAGGAGAAGGAAGCTGGGCCTGGACATCCATGGGGGGACTCACCGGCTTCCTGTGGGTTGACTGAAAAATGACCTCACCGCTGTTCCCTGGCATGACCCTCTTTGCAAGAGTGGTTTGGAGAGTCTTCTAGAATGACCGACAAAGCGAGGAAGCAGGGGGCCAGGGGTTTCCAGCCTGGGCTGGGAGAGGTGTCCGGGCGGGGCAGGCAGGAGTCTGGGAGGCGGGATGGACAGGATGGCACAGATGCTCCTCATGGCGACAGCATCTGTGCTCTCCAAGAGAAAACCAAGGTGTGCCCAAGGACGTACAGTAAATAATTTAGTGTTTTCTAAATGGAAAAAGTGATGGCTTGGGTGATTTTGTAAAAATCATAAATGCTTATTGTAAAAAATGTGGGAAATCCCCGCACACCCTCCCCGACCCCGTCCACTTGGGGGTCACTCCAGACCCCCTCCCGACACGTGCCTCTGTGCCTCTCCATCAGCATGTGGGTGTGTGCTCACGGTTTTACATAAATGGGATCATTCCATACTTGGTGCTCTGGAAACCACATTTTCATGCAGTCGTTTGCAGTGAAGTATTTGTTGTGATAATAAATAGCGTTAGAATATGTGATTTTTTGGCGTCTGCATGGTATATTGAGCTGTATGTGCGCCATCATTGACTTAATGGGCTCTCTGTGCAGTGTGTGCTTGGGTCAGGGACAGGATCGTGTCCCTCAAGATGAGTAGTCAAGGCTCTAGCCCTCTATGTGACCGTGTTTGGATGCAGGGGGGTTAGGGGGTAACCAGGGTTTACTGAAGGTCATAAAGGTGGGCCCTGTACCAATGGCTTTAGTGTCCTGTGGGAAGAGACGCCAGAGAGCTCGCTCTGCCCCCTCACACCCCGGGGAACACCACGAGAGGACACTGCCAGGCCACGTGCCCACCAGGAAGCAGGGGCTCACAAGGACCCTGGCCTCCAGAACTGGGAGAAATGAATTCCTGTGGCTTAAGCCCCGCAGTCCGGGATAATTTATCACGGCAGCCTGAGCAGACCAGGACCGTGTGTTTCTGTTTTTATGAATGCTTTGATTACGTCTGAGGGTAAATCCCTGGAGCCTGTGGCAGCCTCGGAGGTGTGTTATCCCTGCACTTTCTTCAAGAAGAATGTGCATTGCCCTGCTGAGCCGTGTGCTCCCGGCCAGCATCAGCACAGCAAGGGGAGGGCCTGGAACCAGGGCTGCTGGCTGCAAGGCTCCCCGTGGACACTGGGCGTCCCGCATCCACGTGACTCCTCCAGGTCCCTTGGCTCCCGTTTTCCTTCCTTCATTCCCTTCCCTTCCCTGCTTCCTCTTTCTTTCCTTCCCTCCCTTTCTCCCTTCCTTTTCTTTCTTCCTTCCTTCTTTCCCCCTTTTTCTTTTCTTTCTTCCATCCTTTCCTTTTCTTTCTTCCCTTTCTGCCTTTCTTCCTTCCTTCCTCCCTGTCTTCTTACTGTGCTCCCCAAGCCGGTCTTGAACTCCTGGGCTCAAGCAATCCCCTTGTTTCAGCCTCTCCTGTGGCTGGGACCACAGACGCATGCTACCACACCAGGCTGATTTGTTCAGTTTTTTGTAGAGACAGGGTCTCACTTTGTTTCCCAGGCTGATCTCAAACTCCAGAGCTCAAGCGATCCTCTGGGTTCAGCCCCCCAGAGTGCTGCGGTTAAGGTGTGAGCCACCATGCCCTCCCTCAGCCACAAGAGAACCCCTACCCTCCAGTCCATGTCCTTTGTGACCTCAGGCAGCTTCTCTTTCTATATAAAGTGAACCTGTCCCAAAGCCCTGCTCACTGGGCCCTCTGCCCAGGCTTGTAAGGGTAGCAGTCCATGTGTGGCTTGCACCCACATGCCAAGTGCATCCATGCTTCAACCTAGATGTGGTTCCTTCACAGGGATGGTGAAGGGAAACAGATTCACTGTGGCAGGCACCAGGCTCTATCAGTTTCATAAATTTGCACACAACCTGTGACTCAGCAGTTATGCTCCTCAGAATCTACACAAACATGCTAGAGTCAGTCTTCCGGGAAGCAGGCACAAGGATGTTTATCACAGTCTGGTTAATACTTTTAAGAAGTGGGAAGAGGCCGGGCACGGTGGCTCAAGCCTGTAATCCCAGCACTTTGGGAGGCCGAGGCGGGTGGATCACGAGGTCAAGAGATCGAGGCCATCCTGGTCAACATGGTGAAACCCCGTCTCTACTAAAAATACAAAAAATTAGCTGGGCATGGTGGCGCGTGCCTGTAATTCCAGCTACTCAGGAGGCTGAGGCAGGAGAATTGCCTGAACCCAGGAGGCGGAGGTTGCAGTGAGCCGAGATCGCACCATTGCACTCCAGTCTGGGTAACAAGAGCGAAACTCCGTCTCAAAAAAAAGAAGTGGGAAGAAACCTGAGTGTCTCCATTTGATAATGTCTTGACTGCAGGGCACTCGAATAATACCGTGGAATATTGTGCAGCAGTTAGAAGAAACGAGATGAAAGCTGGGTGCGGCAGCTCACGCCTGTAATCCCAGCAATTCGGGAGGCCGAGGCTGGTGATCACTTAAGGTCAGGGGTTTGAGACCAGCCTGGCCAACATGACAAAACCCTGTCTCTAGTAAAAATACGAAAATTGGCTTGCCTCTGTGACGGAGTAAGACTCTGTTTCAAAAAAAGAGAAAGGTGAAGCTTTTAAATTTTTATTTATTAGGCCAGGCGCGGTGGCTCAAGCCTGTAATCCCAGCACTTTGGGAGGCCGAGGCGGGTGGATCACGAGGTCAAGAGATCGAGACCATCCTGGTCAACATGGTGAAACCCCGTCTCTACTAAAAATACAAAAAATCAGCTGGGCATGGTGGCGCGTGCTTGTAATCCCAGCGACTCAGGAGGCTGAGGCAGGAGAATTGCCTGAACCCAGGAGGCGGAGGTTGCGGTGAGCCGAGATTGTGCCATTGCACTCCAGCCTGGGTAACAAGAGCGAAACTCCGTCTCAAAAAAAAATAAATAAATAAAAATAAAAATAAATAAAAAAAATTTATTTATTTTTTTGAGACAGAGTCTCACTGTTACCAGGCTAGAGTGCAGTGGTGTGATCTCGGCTCATTGCAACCTGTGCCTCCCAGGTTCAAGTGTTTCTTCTGCCTCAGCCTCCTGAGTAGCTGGGACTACAGGTGTGCACCACCACAGCCGGCTAATTTTTTGTATTTTAGCAGAGATGGGGTTTCACCATGTTGGCCAGGATGTTTCTTGATCTCTTGACCTCATGATCTGCCTGCCTCGGCCTCCCAAAGTGCTGAGATGACAGGCGTGAGCCGCCACGCCCGGATGAAGCTTTAACTTGGAACGCTCATTTTGGGGTGGAAAAAAGCAAGTTGAGTGAACACACAGACTCAACAATTCAATGATGTGTACAAGTTTAGGAAAGAGTTCTGCACTTTGGGAGGCTTGTAGTCCCAGCTACTCTGGAGGCTGAGGCAGGAGGATTGCTTGAGCCTGGGGGGTTGAGGCTGCAGTAAGCCATGATTGTGTCACTGCACTCCAGCCTGGGCAACAGAGTGAGACCCCACCTCAAAAAAAAAAAAAGAAAAAAAGAAAAAGAAAAGAAAATAGAATTGTTGCAGACGTAATTGAGTTAAAATGAGGCCATACTGGATTGGGTGGGCCCTGATGTAGGATCAGGCTGGGCCTAAACCTGTATAAATGGTGACTTCTTGTTTTTTGTTTAGAGACAGGTTCTCACTCTTGTCCAGGCTGGATTGCAGTGGCCCGACCACTGCAGTCGGCTCCTTGGCTCAAGTGATCCTCCTGCCTCAGCCTCCCAAGCAGCTAGGACCACAGGCATGAGCCACCATGCAGGGCAAGTTTTTAATGTGTTTTGTTTGTTTTTTGTTTTTTGTTTTGAGATGGAGGCTCGCTCCGTGGCCCAAGCTGGGGTGTAGTGGTTCGACCTTGGCTCATTGCAACCTCCGCGTCCCGGGCTCAAGAGATTCTCCATTCATACGTTTTAATGTATAAACCGCGCTGCACCCCAGCCACCCTGGGCACCTGTTCTCAGGACCTCCTGAGGTCTGTGTTACAGGTCGTTGTTGAAAAACGCGCGCTTTGAATGAAGAGACCTTCCAAATAGGCTTTGTGTGAGCAACATGGCGGTTTATTCACCTGGGTGCAGGTGGGCTAAGGCCGAAAAGGGCATTAGCAAAGGGCAGTGGGATAGGAGTTGGTTTTATAGGTTTGGGTAGTTTTTTTGGGGGTTGGGGGTGTTGCAGAGTAAGTTCAGTTACAGTGGTGAGGGTCGGGGCAAGGGAGTAGACATGACCACAAATTCAAGTTACAATGGCAGGGCTGGGTGAGAGGTATTTACATTTTCATAAGAACAGTTAAGATGGCAGGCAGGGTTGGGTGAGGGGCTTGTCTGGGGAAGGTCGGCGGGGGGACCGGGGACGGGGGTGCAGGCGGGGGGGGGGGGGGGACGTCACCAAGGCAAGCAGGACTTTAGACTTTCAGGTCCAGGCTTGCATATGGAGACCTGAGAGTCATGGCCACTCATATTTGTCTCAGAATAGACCTCTTCAAATATTTTAGAGTCTGACTCATTTCATCAACATGCTTAACCCCTCCAGTCTGGGGTCCTATGTCTAGGCAGCCTGGCAGACACACATAGCATTTGATATATGGAAAGCTGTGTGCCAATAACCACCTCTCCCCGCAAGCTCCCTCCGCCTTTCTGCTGCTTGGGATGGAGATGATTCTTTGGGTGCCCTCTGCAAGGTTCTCTGAACTGGCTGCACTACAGGCCATACCCTAGTCAAGCCATGGTGACCCAGTGACTCACACATACACCACTGGATGGCCTCCCGTGTATGTGTGGGAAAGTTTGAGGTAAGAAGAATGGCTAGCTCCTGCAAAGCCCCATTAACCCACCTTGCGACATTGTACCATTGTGCCTGCCTCAGCCATTCCTGCCTTAACTGATAACCCAACGCTGTGACTCTGGACCTTGTGACCACCCCCCACCCCCGCAACACCCCACCCAGCTTGCAAAAACTGCCCTGAACTGTAACTTCTGTAACTTTCCACTGCCCCCACAAACCTACAAAACCAGCTCCTGCCCCACTGCGCTCCCTGACTCTCTTTTCAGACTCAGCCCACCCGCACCCAGTGAATAAACAGCCTTGTGCTCCTACAAAGACTGTTTAGGGGGTCTTTTCATTCAGAGCTCGCATAACCCCCTCCAAAGCCATGGGGTGAAAATGGCAGAGCGGAGGAGGGCACCCTGCTGAGCAGCATGCGGGCCCAGCACTGTTCCTTACTTGGACAAGAGGCAAGGCTCCCAGGGCTTAGTGTACCTGCTGCAGCAGCTGGTAGGGCCGTGCCAGGGGCAGACTGACCCCGGAGACAGCACTGTCCCACAGAAAAATCATGCAGGCCACCAGTATGAGCCACGCAAGTCATTTAAACATTTCCACTAGTCATATAAAACATCAAAAGAAACAGTTGAAATTCACTGTTTAGAGACAAGGCCTCACTCTGTGGCCCAGGCCGGAGTGCCGTCGTGCAGTCAGGATTGGTGGGAGGGAAAAGCAGCTTTTAATTGGAGACCCAACAAAGCGAGAGGGTGACCAACCAGCATTCTAAACTGTCACCTTGGCTGG